GGCCTGCCGTCCTCACAGGCAGCTCTGCTCTGCACCTGCTGCTGCAGTAGCGTTTTGCAACTTCTCGCTGTGTCTTGGCTTGGAAGCTGCTTGGGTGCGAGCTGCTTTCTAGGCCAGGGCCTCCCAGTGCATCAGTGGAAAAAGAGACCTACACAAGCCCTCCCAGGGCAGCTCAAGGCCTCTCTTGACAGCTGACCTCATGTAAACGGGTGGATAAATATGTCACACAAAGCTCCAGCAGTGCCTGAATGACAGGCACTGGGGTTTGGTGGCTCCCTGGTCCCCCTGCCCTGCGCCCTGCTGCCATCCTGCAGCGCGCGGCCATGGCGAGCCCGGCCGCCCTGCGGCAGAGCGGGATGGCCGCGCGCCTGCTCCCTGTAGCAGCAGGCAGCTCTCGCCTGCGCACAGCCCTGTCTTCTGCCAACGCGAGGACGGAGAAAAACTGCTTGAAGAGCCAGTCCTCTATAGTGTAAAACCTTAGGTCTTGGGGAAAAGTGCCCTAGCCACGGAGCTACTACGTGACAGTTTTCCTCACGCGCTTCTCCTACCACAGCCCCCTCAGCTGCCTAACCCCGGCCAGCAGGGCCCCTCTCTGCTGCACCCGGGCGCAGAGGACTGCACGCTGGTGCCATCCTGCTCTTCTGGAATGTTTAGAAGGGCCCTATCACTCACAGCTCTGTGCCAGCCTGCTCACCTGCAGTGCTTTTCTTTCCACCCTTCGTTTTTTTCACGATACTGATTTTAATTTTCACATGCAATGTTGAAGCTGTGGCATGCTAGCCTGTGGTACACTTTGGAGAAGGGATGCTCCTGGGTGGGTGTTTGACCTGCCCTAACCCTTGGAGCTGCTTCCCGCTCTGTGTTTCGCACAGCACCGTGTCCTGAGGCAGCCCGGGCTGCTGGCGATGGTTAGCTCATTTGCTTCCACTGCCCTCGGGAGCGCTGCTCTCCGCAAAGCTCTCCGCACGCACGGAGACATCCAGCCCTCCCACGCGGCAGCAGAAATGCTGTCACTGCAGCATCTCCTCTGCTTTCCCGCAGCTTCTTCTCACGCACATAGCAGGCTCACGTTACTTAGCAGCTGATAAAATATTCTCAGATCCGCTGCTAAATTGTACATTGTGTTGGCAACGCTCAAAGCTAGCAACAAAGAGGATTTATAGATGTTAAAATGAAGCACCCTTTGTCCCTTTCGAGGTTTGATGAGCTTTCTCCTCATCCCCCGATCAAGTTATCGTGATCTGATAGAGCATTAGTAACTTGGAGCAAACCACGTTCATTGTGAAGTGGCCGCTGCCGCTTTTGTGAATCGCGAGGGGCGCAGTCACGTGCCGGGGCGGCTGGGACGCGCGCGCTGATCCCCGCAGAACTGGGACTCGTCGGCCCGTGTGAACGGGGCCTGGGTGGCGCTGGAAAAAAAAATCGTGGGACAAGGCCGCTGGCTGCTCCACGTGCGGCCGGGGGGGCCGGCGGCCACCGCGCTCCAGCCCGTGCGGCGCCCACGGGCGCTTCCTCTGCCTCCCTGCTCTGCCAGGGAGACGGGCGAGCAGCCAATCAAACGCAGCCCAACATTCTGGGGGGCTTGATGGTACTGTCATCCCTTGAGAAAATTTGGGAAACAATGCACTTGAGTAGGATCTTAAAATGAAAGAAATGCAAGCAGCCTCTGCTATTTTATTTCAAAACAGCAAGAAAAATGTAGAATATAGTCTGGTTTACTAGAGGTTCCCCTCAAATCGCATCAGCGAGTCTGTTTGCATTCTAGTGCTGTTGCTGAGCCAGACAAGTCTGCAGCACAGCATCTATTTTCAGCCTCCAGGTTGCCATTTATAGCTTGTAAAAATATTCATCACCATCTGGATAACAGGCTATCAATTTTTATAAATGTACACGAGAGATTAGGTACTTTACTTCTCTCTCTGCTTTGCCCTTTTATGTCCTGCCTCATATGACCCTTTTGGAGTCATCTGGAAATTGCTTCGTTTTTAAACTCCTTACTGTCACGCCATACAGCCGCCTGCTGCCGCGTACAGCATCGCGTGTTTCCTGCTGGGTGGCCAAGGTACAGCACAAAAACCAGCAGTCACGGAGCCCCCTTCTTCTGGGTCTCCTGCACCCAGGGCAGTGGCACGTGTGACTGTGGGGTGCCTCACGCAGTCAGGGCAGGAGGCAGCACCTTCTGCAAGTGTCATCTATAATAAGGAGACAATTGTAAAAGGCACATAGGAAGAGCTTGAAGTTATCTTCCTCATCCCTGCTTCTCCTATTTTCACCATGTGACCTAATGTAATTAAAAATTATTGCTCGTGTTTATCTTCTGAAATATTTGATACTAGTACCAGATATTACATTAAATGAAACAGTTTGGATCCAGTATAAGGCAAGACAGCATGTTGTAACAGCTAGATCACCTCGTCTTGCTATATCAGTTTATGTCTCCCAGCTAAATGATATCCTCATTTATATCAGCTGAGCATATAATTACCCTGATCAATAACCTGTATCTAGCAGTCAATTGCACAGTTTTAGTCTCTTGAGCTGCTCCATCACATACTCCCACTGTGGCTGTTCTGTGATTGATGGTGCAGGTCAAAGTCTAATCTGCTTTGTGCCTGTACCTCTAGGTCCTCCACTGCCTTCTCAAGGAAGAAGGAAAAAGAAATCTGAAATACTTCAGGGGCAGAGCTGCCACTGAAAGATGCGAGGCTTGAGGAGATTCAGTTAGGCAAGCACTACCTTCAAAGAAACTGGAATGTAACAGAAAGGCAGAGCCACAAACCTTCCATCAGGGCACTTTCTGCCATCCCTAAAGCCTTCTTCCCATGTCATGTTTTGAAGATGAATTAATCTTTAATCAATTGAATTGATTTTCTGCACGGAAAAATTCAGGGACAGAACAGGTCATGACAAGCATCTGTCTAGAATAACTCGGTGCTTGTGCACGAGCTCTGCAATCAGACCTTGCTGGAGAGCAGCAGGGAATAGACAGAGCTGCTAAAAATAGCATTTCCTTGCAGTGTTTTTCCAGACTATTTTTGATTCTTGATTCTGATAAGGTCGACTGGCTATTTACTAAAAATAGCTAATCCTAGCAAACTGAGGACAAAAATGTATTTATAACCACGTCACACTGAAGTACGTTTGTTGGCTGAAGATAATATAGCATCTTATCATCAGTCAATTGCCAGTGTTTTATGTAAGTTAGTAATAAATAAAGCATTAATTGGAAGAATGAGTTTATCTTGTCATTCTGATTTTCTCAAATGATGTAAACATATTTTGGCACTTTACATTGTAGTTTACTGTGCTTGTGCTGCTTTTCATGTCGTGATCTGAACTGCTTCAGAAAGACCTAGAATAATCCTCTGTGAGGTGAGCTGTTCCCACAGAAATGGCTGCAGAGGCCATTAAAAGTGCAAAAACGGTTTTACTGTTTTGCGTGCCTGATACTTCTCCCTTCAGGAGACCTCTCTTGCAGCTTTATGATGCTCAAGAGCAAATGCAAACTGCACACACACTCATCTCGTCACGCTCACTGCTTACCAGCAGCGCCAGGGAGATGGACTGACTGACCACTGCCATGTTCAGCACCGTCTTCTGCCATCCTCCTCCACAGCAACTGGGCTTCGCATGCTCCGTGCCCACGGTCTCCTCTGTTAAGCACCAAAATGCAGCTGGCTCCTAAACACATTGCATTAATTACTTGCTACCTATGCCATGGTAATTTGGACTCTGACACACAGAAACCATTACGAGCATTTTACCCATGAAGGGTATTGGATACTGCCTGATCTGAGATCAGAACGGAAACCAGTGAGCTCAAAACACAGAAGTTTTATAGAACTCAGATGAAACAGTCACAGTTCTAGAAGTCTCAGCCACTCATTTGGACATGTTTATGTGCTCATTTCAATATGCTTATGTGCTTTTTCACCCTTAGCTGGGGCTAAGCAAGGGCTGACACTGAAATCATTAATTACTTCTGATCATCAATCAGGAAAAGATAAAACATTTTAACAATCTCAAGTCTCTGTCTTGCTGGGAAGACTGAAATTAATAAGAAGCATAAAAAAAATGACACCACAGCACCATATTAGAGAGTTAAGAGCATATTCATTAGAAATGAAATAAAAAATACAATGATGCAGCAAAACAGGGGGTAGCAGGCAAACAAGACCCCCACCATTTCATACCCTCACCCCAATCCAAGGAAAGCACTTATATAATACAAATTGGAGATCTCAAACTGGGGCTAGAGGATGGGTTTTACAAAGTAATTTTCTTGCTATACAGAAAATATATTCTTTGCTGGAAGTCAATGGTGAGCTGTTAAGGGCCTAGGGTTTGTCACTGCTCAGAAAAGCCCCCAGAAGGCCCGTTGACCCCTACTGTTTCCCCACCAGTTTGCTGAAAACGTCGTAGATCTCTGGCTTCTCCTGAGCAAACTGCTCTGCTGTATTTTTCTGCAGCCAGTCGGATGAGCGCATCTGTTGCTGCAGGAGGCCGATAAGGTCACCGAGGTTGGAGTTGCCAGCACAGGAAGGCTCCTGGTGGCGGGATACAAAAATGACCTCGTCTGTGCTGTCTGCTTTGCCATCTTGATCCGACTGACACGGCTGCTCCTTGGCCTCATCCAACTGCATACCTGCATGGTGTAGGTAAGAGAAACACTAATGAGTTAGATCAAGCCACAAGGGTCTCCAAATGCCTGTGAAATCCACAAAAAAAACTGAAGCAGCAAAGAATAAGAAAGAACAAAACAGAAGAAAACAGGATCATAATAATAATAGTAATAGAACAGTTTAGGATTAAAGAGTACTTTAGAAATTCTGGGAGGTAAAAGAGAAGAAAACATTACTCACCTAACTGCAGTCGATGAATTTTGTCAGCAAAGATAATGCGGAACCACCCAGGTTCACTGCATTCAAAGGCTTTACCGCAGGATAGCAGGACCTTGTTGTCAAGAAAACGCCTCCAGAGCAGCATCTCCTCCTCAAACGTTCCGGTCCTAAGGTACTAGGAGAGTTAGCAGAAGGGCCAGAGGTTAGTAACACACATGTCAACTCACCAAGATGCTCATGAATCTGTGTTTCCCATGAGGTCTGCAAAGGCCTGGGGAGACACCTTTTGCCTCTGAAGAGCAGCAGTTGTGATACAAAGGAAGAAATGGGAAGGAAAGTGGCTTGAGAGCAATAAGATTCCTGCAAGGAGGAAAATGCACAGACAGACTAAAGGAAGAGCGCACACAGAAATGGTGGTCAGCCCTTCCCTCTGCTCATCAAGACCACAGACGAGGCTTTAGCAAGACATTTATCACTATATTAAACTTTCCTCTCGGCTCCTTGGCACCAGGTGCCTGCCCTCAGCCCAGGAGAAGCCTCCTTTCTTGAGACTACCAACCTTTCGGAAATCAATCCAGACAAAGAAGCCTGCATTGCGGTTGAGAAAAGGAACCCCAAGTGTCTTCAGCTCATCTGTTACATACGTATGGGCAGCTTTTAGGCGGGCATGGTTGGCCCTCAGGTACACCTGGTTGATCCAGTCTGACCAGAGGGAGAAGACAGAGAAAAAAGTTGCAAACTGAATAAGAATTCAGATGCATACAAGTTTTCAAAACACTCATAATGCCTTTTTCCATTTCACCCTTTTCCATTTCACCTTCCTTCTTCTGTTTTCTGCTGCCTCAAAAACAACAACAACAAAAAAAGAGGGCTAAGAACGTTTTCCTATATTCACTACTCCTAGTTGCTGTGGATTCTTAGCACTCCAAGCAGGACAAAGCCAGAAATCCAACTGTTTTCCTCTTCCCACAAGCTTGTACTCTTTGCTTCTGCTCAGCTGGTTCTATACAACACTAGCCATTTCTGTACGGAAAACTACAACCAAACTTCTTCAAAGCTCTCCTCTCATTTTGCTCACAAGGAGCTCTGCAGAAATGTTCCTTTCTGTAGAACTGCCGGCCATGCATTACACGGGCAGCTTTGGGATTGTGGAGGGCTGTTAATTAAGCTGTACAAACAAGAGGCAGTTTGAGAAAGTATGGGGAGAGGATCCCCTGAGGTAGTGAGATACACAGAGCAAAAGAGGATCATCTGTTAAGCTACTCACTCACCTCTGTCTCTAAGCAGCTGTGCAACCTTGTGCTGGACAGGTCCACAAACTCCATGGAAATAACACAAAGAAGCCACTGCATTAGCAACATCTTGGTTCTCGGTGTATAAAGTACCAAAGCGAATCCCAGAGACAGCAAAATCCTGCAGAAAACACAGACAGGCTGCTTCATTACACAGGAAGACCGGGATGCAATTACTGCTGCCTTGTTCCTCCTGGCACAAGGGCCTCGCGGCACCTGCGGGGAAGCGCCAGCCGCCACTCACCTTGCTTATTCCCCACATGACATGAGTCCTCTGCGGGTCGGGCAATCTGTATGTGCAAGGATGAGATGGGCAGTTAGTGTCATAGGTGCTGAAGCTTTTGGATCACTAGTGCAGCATTGCAAAAACAGAGAGGCACACAGAGCAGCAGGGAACACCAATCGAGTGGGGGAAACTCAAATAGGACCTAACTTTAGAAGCTAAGAACTCTGGCAGCTAGTTTTCGACAATTTTTAAAAATATTTGAGATCTGTAGATGCCTGCCTCGAGTGCTATATTTAATACACAAGTCTTCTGAATGACTTTTAAGCCTGCACATCTAAAATCTGTACATTCAATACTGAAAAGCAGCCCCACACCATCATACTTTTCAAAGATTAAAACGAGCTTGCTTGCTTGCTTTTAAACACCAATACTTTGAAGATGAAGATCTTCCTCAGCATTACTGAGCTAACAGTTAACTAAACATATTATTATGTCCTTGCAAATAAACACAGAAAGAAAGAGTACCATTGGCAAAAACTAGAAAGAAAATAGAGCATATTTTTAAAAGGTGAGATTTGGAAAACTTTTCATCTCATTAAATCATAATAAAACATATTCTCAAATCTTTAGTAACACTTTGATGCCATGACTGCTGTAAGAAAAAAATAAAGTAAGCAGCACTAGAAACTTTCCATATCAATGGAAACATGGGGAATAGGTAACAATGTTTAGATAGCAAAGACATTATCACTTGCAAGAAATTAAATATCTATTTCTAGGATTTGGAACTGTCAGAAGCAAGCAGGGAAGCACACACTGAAAAATTTATCACAACAAAATACGAGTTCCCTTTTCCTTCCTTGCTTGATTGCACTTGACAAAATGCATTTGCTATTCAGAGACTACAAAAAGTCCAGGTAAGGCAGATTCAGAATTTGCTTGCTCATGACTTTCAGTCACAAGTTCTCAGCAAGGCATCATGTTGAATTGGCACAGGGAGATGGCCAGGGAAGTAGCAGCTGATTTTACCTGTCCATGCCTAGGACACTGTGAAATGTGGTGGATTCGTCAAACACTGACAGCATGTAGATCTCATCTACTATCACATGCAATTCATGCCTGCAAAAGAACAAGAGGCAAGTTATGAAAGAGTGCTGCTTCTGACTGGGGAGAAACAACTCGCTGTGTATTACCCATCTAGGGCGAGCTGTACCATCATCTGCTCGGAACGGACAAAGCTCCAGAGAATATCAATGATCCACAAGGAAGCTGGGAACCCATATTCATGTATTTCTTTTCCTGTGTACATACAGAAAAACTGGGGGAAAGGGAATTTGGTTTCCTACTAAAGCAGCACGGGACCACAGTGTTTGCAAGGACTCCTAAAAGGATAAATATAACTTGTATTACTTGATGCAATTTACTTAGCCATGCTCCCTTGTCCCCACTACTCCCCTCTCCTCTCCTAAGCCCACTGCTGTGTGCAAAGAACAAGGTTGTTGGTCTGACTCAAAAGATATTCACAGAAAGATGAATGGACAGTGAATAATCCAATGGAGTCTTAAAACTGCATCTGACTCAGCATACCTCAGTCTTCCAAACTGACATACCTTTTAGCAAATTCCAGGTAATCCTGTAGCTCTGACAAGGAGTAGATGTCCCCTAGGGGATTCTGGGGATTCAGAAGAATTAAGGCCCTTACAGTGACACCCTGAAGAACATGAGAAGTGCAATATTAAGAGAAGATTCACGACAGGATAAATTTTCAACCTGCTAAAGCAGTCAGTGAGACACAAGAGTCATTAAGCTCACAGTAACTCAGGCTCCCATACCTTCTCATCTGAAAGGTTAGGTTTTTTATGAGAAAACTTTTAGCCAGAGATTAAACTCTTTTTTGCAAAAGACAGAGAAATGATGGATATACCATAGAATTAACCTATGGTATTGAAGTGCAGGAGAATACCACGATCATTGTAAATAGCTAAACCTATTTCTGAGAAAGATGCTCTCAGCCTGGAAGAGAAATTCCGACGAGCTGTATCAGGCCCTTTGAGAATCAGTTAACCCAAGTACATTGCAGGCTTAGTCGGCAATACGAAGCTCAGCTGCACTCACCTCTGCCCGGGCATCCTGCAAGGCCTTTTCCAGTTTGTCCACTGTAAGTTGAAAAGGCCGAGTGCTGGTTCCAGTGATCTGAAAGACACCACAATGGAAAAAAAGAGCAGTTTATTTCCTCAGCCTGCCATGAGCCATTCCCCCAAGAAATGTTTCCCAAAACAAAACAAAATTCAGTAACAATGATCTAGCTTCCATGCTCTTACTATCATTTTATACTACATAGAAAATAAATAAATAAAAAAAATCAGAGAATTGTTTATAGTACCCTGGCCACACACACCGAATTCTCTGGTTATCCCTGAGTAACTAAAACAATGTAAAATCTTTGCGTGCTCTTCCACTCCTGGGGCTATCCTTAGTAGGACAGTTCATAGTTCTGTCTTCAAGGCTCATTATGTTTTTTTTTTTCTCCCTTTCCCCATCAGGGTCCATTATTACATGTTTATTGGGAGTAAGATACAAGACAGGAAAAAGACTGGAATCCAGTTTTTTTTGCCTTCAGTAGGTTTCTTGAAAATTATATGACCCAGTTTCCTAACAATAATTTGTGAAAAAATCCACAGGCTGCTGTTTAGCCCTGTTTTGAGGACTGTTCCAGAGGTTCCCAAAGATTGGCACCTTCCAGTATCAACTATTTTTAGCTGCAAAGGTCCAAATTCCTTTCCCTCAGTTCTTACCTTACTGTCTAAATAGGCATACACCAGCTTGACGTTCCCATACAGAAACACACTCTGGGTGATGCCACCATAGAAGGGAGTGGCAATCAGAACAGCCTCTGAAACCAAGGGAACAAAGCTGGTTATCAACAGGTGAGAGCCTCTCTCTCTCTTCTATAGCATTACAGACAAACATGACAGTTTTTCCTTACAGTTATGCCCCTTGGAAGCATCTCAACATTACCCATTTTTGCCCACTTTCTTTTTATATATATATTTTTAATCTTCTGCAAGTGCTGAACACCCATCCTCAATATTTCAGGAAACATTTTCATAGTCCACAGTTAATCTAAGGAAAATAAACACAGTACCACCAAAGCAGCGGAGAGAGACAAGGTGAGACACAAAGTATGGGGCCTGCAGCCTGGGGAGACAATGAATTTTGCAATACGCCATTGAAGGAAACAAGAACTTCACTAGGCTAATTCCACTATTTCATTTTCATCATACAATATTTAAACGGAGTAACACTGTTTCCCAATAAAAGCAAACTTTAAAAAGCATCTCCCAGTCATCCACTTACCTCCTGGATCACAAAGGACTGTAGCTAATGCAGAAAACAGAGAGCCACAACCATTCAGTACAATCACCTGTAAAAGCAAGAGAGAGACACTAATAATAAATCTGTCCATAGAGGAACACTACAAATTAATGTCTAACAATATCATTGACCCCTAGTCCTCTAGCACAGAGGTTCCCAAACT